ATTATCAACATAACTTGAGTTTAAGATAAAATATTTTTGAGTAAATTTTGAATTATTTTTTCAATCATATTTGGGTTTGGAAAGAAATTTTTCACAACTACACGTATTTGACGATCTTGTTTGAAAGCCTCTATAAAAAATTAAGGAGTGACAGTGTGTCAATGTATTAAGTGGTAGGTATGCAGTCGTTTATCAAATTGATGAAAAATTTTCTTGCCTCGACTAGGATTTGAGCCCAGAACCCTCGCATATCCAGTTTAATGCTCTAATCTGAGGTACTCATTTCTACCTTGTCAGTCAAGTATTTCACCAATTTTAAGTTGTTGGTTGTGAAGACCAACGGCAACCTTCGGCGGTTACCGTTGGTATGGAAGTGAATTAGGAGGTATTAGAGTAGGTACCAAATTCGCAATTAAGGTTTGAAATCCATTATCCTTTCAACCACAGGTGCGTCGTCGACATATAGCGACAGCAGCAGGCCACGGGATGGGTCGCCCAACTATCAATATCAAACTAATATAATTTTTCAATTTTTCTAGTTTTATCGTCCGTGATATAATTTACAGTGTGTTAATGAATTTCTGCATGCCACTAAATTCATTAACATACTGTAAGCTATATCACAGATGATAAAACTAAAAAAAAATATTATTTTAGTTTCAACAAACACTCACCATCATAACCGAAGTTGGAGAATCATTTGGAATAATTCCAAGAACAGAGAAAAGCCTTAAAATTAAAAATAGAGTAAACTTGTACCTTGTAAACCGTAAATCTTGTAGACTACCTTAATAATAATGTGGAAATATTAGACAACAAGCAGCTAGTCAATTTAATAAAAACCCTACCTTCCAGTAATTTTATTGTTTTCCTCAATTTTCAAGTCTCTTGTTTCCAATAACGTCGCCGCAAGTAAACAAAGAATAATGTGCAACGTACGTTCAAGAACGCCACAATGTCTGTTCCCCTCCCCAACTCTTTTTGGTTTATTTTTCTTCGACATGCCTTTTCGTCCTTTTATTTCGGTCACCTAATACTTACTGATTAAATTGAAAGCTACTTTTTGCCGTTCTGAAGACGAAACTCTATATTGTTCGAGAACCGTTTCATTGTTTTCCGCTGGTCAACAGCGATTGGAAACGTCAAGTCTCGTACACACTTAGACAATATCTTGGCCTATATATTGCTGAATGTCCTTTGTCTCCAGGTCAAGTGATCGATTTCACATTGCATCAGCTTGTCTCTATCATGGTCTCACTGAATCACTTACAAGACGTACATTTGAAATATCCTCTCTGATAACAATCTTAAAATGAATTTGATATTTCCGGACCACCCTGCATGCGCTATTTTATTAGGAATTAGCCCATAATTCACTAATATCACCCAAAATAAAATGACAAAAAAGCCAAGACAGTGAACAAACAACGAAAGAAATAGAGGAAAGGCAAACATTTATGTGTTCTCCTCGAGCGACGAGCGTTCATCGTACATTATTTTATGTTGACTTTATTGGAAACAAGACTCTAGAATTAAAAATAGCAAAACAAATAATTGGCGAACATTTGTGGAGGAAAATGGTAATTTTTGTCAGGAAATATTTAGAAGGTTTAGTTGTAGAAACATGAAATGGATATGATCTAGCTACATTAAATAGCCGATCTGCTTCAAGCTACTATTAATTATTTATATAGAAATAAAACCCAACTTTCCTGTTTTCTTGCTTATTTATTTACAATCACAGAATCAGATCTGATTCAAATGTTATGCATTTCTGACAACAATACAGGAGACAAACCGAAAAAGGCTAAAAAAATCCTATTCTACTATCCAAGTTAATCACCATGGACAGCTTCCAGATGCTCTGAAAAAACAGGGAAAACAGAAAATTACTTTCGGAATGTTGGGCATTTGAGCTAATATTCTCCTTATCTATATCCTGAAAAGGTGTTCTTTGAAATGTATTATTTTCAAAATCATACATTTACACGTTCGCTGCGAATATCAAATGGGATCTTCCCCCAGGAGCTGGAATTGTCGCACATAGACATCAGCACTAGAATCTGAGTTTAGATGTCCAAAGCGGATGTAGTCTTTTCTAGCTCGGAATCTGAGAGTTTTTTGTCATTTTTGAAACACAATCTAGGACGTTTTAGCCCGAGGCACCGGCCTCACTATCCATGTTTCCCATCACACGTGATTAGGCACCAACACAAACAAACTCGCAAATGGAAAAGAAAATCCGTTAGTCCAATACTCTTCTAACACACTGAAAAAAAACGTTCACTTTCCACCAGTGCTAAATTTTGAACGGAATATACAAAGCAATGCATACACTTGTCGTACATAGGGGCCAGGCGCACTAGGGTACGTACGCTCATGTCGCCTATGAGCGACATGCGCAGCGAAAGTGTTAATAAATCAGCTAAGAAGGGGGATAATAGGGATCCCATTGAAAGGCCTTTCTCTGCTCCTTAAGGTGAGCAGGTAAGGGGTGATTTGTGGAACGAAAGTGTCATTTTCGGTTATAGCTCGCATATCCTTGTTCACATCTTCGAGGGTTCTTAATTGACGACCAAATGTCATATACAATGCTTGAGTAAAACCTGTTGATTCGCATCTGACAGTGTTAAAAGCAAATCGAATCGCCGGCAATTTATCCATCCACAATGTATGATCTTGAGAAATGAGTATAGACAACTGTGTTTTCATGTCTCTGTTCTTCCTCTCTACTGGGTTTGATTCAGGATGATATACAGGTGTTAGACATTGTTGGAACTTTAAGCAGTGCGCAACTTGTTGCATAATTGCTCCCACAAATTGGACACCATTATCAGTGATCACGCGTCTTGGAACTCCGTACCGAAGAATGACTTCATCGATAAGACAGCGGGCCAGCTTCAGCTGTGCATTTTGAACAGAAAACATCTCCGTCCAGCGACTGGCCGTATGCTCCACGATAAAAATCTATCGGTAACCACTAGAAGTTTCTGGTAAGGGTCCGAATAAATCTATTGCGATTATCTCAAATCTCTGGGATTGTACTGAAGTTTGCAGAAGTCCTGCGGGTTTTAAATTGTTAGCTCTAAACCTTTGGCATTCAATGCATTTGCTAATATTTTTGGTAATGGTTCTCTTCATTCCGGACCAATAGTATCTTCTACCTATTCTTTGGAAAGTTCGTTCAATTCCATAGCGGTCTCTGAGTCATGGGATTCGTGTAGTATTTGTGGTATTTGACTTCGTGCTGCTACTTGTTGTGGTTCTTCTTCACCTATTTCCGGTGAATATCGATATAAGATACCATTGGATAGGAAGTATCCTCTTTCAGCCCATTTTTTAAAATCGACGCCGGTAGCAGATCTTTCTAGTCCATTCATTATCTTACTTAAGTCAGAATCAGTCAACTGTTTTGCTCAGATTCCGGTTGCCAATATTATTGGCAGATCAACAGTGACAATATTGATCGATTCGTCTGATTCTTGTCTGGGAGGTCTTGACAGGGTGTCTGCTATAACATTTTTCTTGCCAAGGATATAATCGATTCGGAGATCATAACCTTGTAGGCTTAAAGCCCATCCAACTAGTCGTCCTATAGGGGTTTTTAGGGACATCCACCACCTTAATGATTGATCACTTTGTACTAAGACAGTGGAACCTTCTATATATCCTCTAAATTTCTGAACAGCCCAGACGACAGCAAGAGCTTCTCGTTCAGTCGTGCTTTAGTTTTGTTCTGCCTGATTGAGCAACCTGGATGTATACTCAATTGGGCGTTCATCCTCACCCTCTGGAGTAAACATGCTCCAAGGGCATAACTGCTTGCATCAAAACGTAGTATTTAGGGTAACTTACAGTCAGCTGTCTTGATTGGTGTGGAGCTCAGTGCGATTTTTAGCTGGTTAAAGCGTTTAATTGAGCTTCTTCCCACTTCCATTTTACATTATTCTTTGTTAGTGATGTGAGAGGTTTGGAAATGCTTGCAAAATTGTCGATAAATCTCCTGAACCAGGAACAAGTTTGCAAGAAACTTGAGAGCTCTTTGACGTTTTTGGGTGGAGGCATTATGGCAGCAACCTTGGTGTTATCGGGAAGGATCCCTTCTGGGGTGATCACGTGTCCAAGGTACTTGAGTTTGAACAAGTTCAATTTATTGAAAATCTTTTGTAGATCTTGGAGATGTTCTGTGAAACCCGATGAAATATCTATCAGGTCGTCAAGATACACCAACACAAAAATGTCAGGTAGGCCAGCAGGAAACGATCCATGAGCCTCTGGAAAGTGGAGGGGGCTGTGGAAAGACCAAAAGGCATTCTAGTATATCTAAATGTTCCAAATGGTGTAACAAAAACTGTTTTGTCTCTATCTTCATGTTTCACACTTATTTGATGGTATCCACTTCTCAGATCTAATGTCGTCATAAACTAAAGTCTTTTTTGCTTCGTGTAATAAGTCGTCTATTCTTGGTAATGGGTTCCGATCTGCTCTGGTAATTGAATTGAGTTATCGGTAATCCACTACCAATCGGGTCCCACCATCCTTCTTAGGCACTAGGACCACTGGGGCGGCATAGGTCGACTCACACTCCTCTATGGTACCACTCTGCAGCGACTTGTCCAATTCAAAGCGCAGCTGCTGCTTCTTTATCTCCGACATCCTATAAGGCGGTATAAATATAGGATTATCGTTCAATAAAATAATTGCATGCTCTGCAAATGGAGTAGGTTCGCTATTGGGCACAATACAGCATTCAGCATTTCTTTTTCCTCTGGCTGCAAGGAAAGACCTCCAGTTTCTTGGAGGGAAATTTCTGAAAAATAATTTCGCTAACATAGAACCAGCCACACTTGATTTTGCACCAGTGTCCAAGTAAGCATACCCGCCATGTCCAAAAATGGGAATTGGCATCAAAGGCCAAAAATATGGTCCGTGTGAGAAGGAATTATACAAAAATTCAGCAGCCATCACAGGGTTTTTAGAAGAACCTTGGGAAGACCATACTAAGTTGAACAGTTAGGGCAGTTACTGCGTATAAACCCAGGAGCACCACATCCATAGCAAGACAGAGGGGAACTTTTTTCTTGAGCTGTTTCAGCGTTTTGAACTTGTACATTTGCCTGGGCCTGATGAACTGTGCTTTTTGTGATATTTTGTGGAGAATAACCAAGTTCAAAAGCTTTCTTAAGTTTACGGCACTCTTCTTTGACGTGACCGGCATTTTTGCAGTACACGTAACGCTTTTGTCCCTTAAATTCAGTACCCGTGATTTTACTAACATCAGGCGATTTAAAAGTTTCTTCAGCTAGACGTGCTTGTGTTAAAAGGTCTTGGAACGAATGGACTTTGTCCCGTGGAACCTTTTCATGTATCTGCCTGATGTGTATTAAACCGTACACCATATCGAGTTGAATGTCCTCAGTTAGAGTTCCACTAGGTAATTGAGCTAAAACAGCTCGAGATTTGCAAATGAAAGCGTTATTTTTAGTTTTAGAGTCCTGTTCTTGTGGTAAAAGTTCTCTATAAACCCGATAAGGCCCGAATAGGGCCAAATGTAGACCGAAGCAAATCTATGGCATCTTTCCAGGTGGTTAAGGACGATTTGACGCCCTAAAACCACGTCACAGCAAAACCATCAAACAACATAGGCAGACCTTTAAGAGCATTGTCATCTTGTATTAGACTATAGTCTTTATAAATTTCTACTGCATTGATGAATCATCAGCATTTGAAGAACCATCAAACCTTGAATTACATTTTGTGAAGTTTCCAGTAGGAGCTGGAGCTTGATAAGCAGCCTGTTGCTGAGGGGCTGCAGTTAAACGAGACCTAAGCTGAAACTGTTCGTCTGTTAACGTCACAGAGCTCATATTGTTATTTAGGTTACAAATTATACGTGAACGAAGCTCGTAAGGGCTTCTAGATGTGGATGAAGACGATGAACTCTCTGGTTCCTCTGAATCACCAAGTCCAAAATTGTGCGACACTCACGGGAGCAAAATCGGGGCGAATTACTTACAAATGTTTTTTAGAATTTTTGTTTTGTGGGGGCAGCAGCACACTGCATTGAAAAAGAGTTCTGATAATCTTTCCACGGCTCAATGTTGGGCGCCAATATAACGGGTATGTAGGTTGTGGGTCACCGTCAATTCGTCGTAAATCAATCTGTCGCAAGTCAATTCGTCGTACGTCAATTCGTCGTAAAGCAAATTCGTCCTAAAGTAAATTCGTCGTATACGCTAATTCGTCGTAAAGTCAATTCGTCATTTACGTCAATTCGCCGTAAAATCAATTCGTCGTATACGTCAATTCGCCGTAAATCCAACTTGTCGTAATAAAGTAAATTGTGTCAAACGTCCCTGTCGGCATGAAAGCAACTGAATCTTATGCATCACTGGTGACTCATGTGGTAGCCAACGTGTTAATAATTTGCGATTTTAATCAGAAATTATCAAACTCACCGATAATAACCCGCTTAGTTTGGGTTAGTTTGCAATGTGATGTCTGATCAAAATTGCAAACTATCCCAAAATGGCCGGGTAATCATCGGTAAGTTTGGTAATATCTGATTAAACAGAAAAAGTGTAAATTTATACATTTTAACATTATACCTGAAATACGATAAATTAATTACTTATACAACGAATTAGCAATACGACGAATTGACGTATACGACCAATTAACGTTATGACGAATTGACGTATAGCACGAATTTACGTTTACGACGAATTGACGCATACGACAAATTGACTTACGACGAATTGACATAGACCCGTAGGTTCTACCGTGGAAGAAAAGGATTAAACACAGAATACTTTTATTACTCAAAAAAATCGATTGTTCACATTTTACAAGATGAAATAATAATATTGCAAAAACGTGGCAAAAACAACTGATTATCAACAATAACAAAACTTGAAGTGTGAAGTTTGACTTTTTCTCTTCCTCTTCTTTTTTAGGTTAGGGCGTAATCCATTTGGTATTGGGGAATGTTCCCTTGGCTATATGAGGCATGTTCCGTTTTTCATATGGGGCGTTACATATAGCTATTTATATAACAAGTTGCAAAATGCGCTTGTTTTTTTTTTTTTTTTTGCACTAAATGTGAAGATCGGACCACCATAGTAGCGCGAGTGGTCCAACACATTGTGTGCAAAAGGCAGTCATTTTACTAAGTGTTTCATAGAAGATTTTTGCGAGTCATTTAAAATATTTAAAATAAAAAATATAAACTAATTTTAACACTGACACTGACCGCACTCTAAATCCCATTTCAATACTCAGTGATAAAATAAACCACTTTTGATAATTAAAATCAATATCTGAAACCTGACTTTCCTTAACTAAATTACAAAAAATCTATTTTTTTTTTTTTTTTTCAGGAATCCAAATGAACATCATAAACAAGAACCTGTTTTGGCAGCTTCTAGAGAAAGAAATCGATTCCGTTCCATATTATGGGATGAATATGATTCAGTTCATCAAAAATATTTGGAAATGAGTAAGTTACAGAATAATTTCACATAACCTAACATTTGAACGTATTATAGTTTATTAACATACGATATTATGCATGTATGCGTAGGTATATATTATACAAAATATGAACTTCTGACCAGATTCAGCACCAATTTATTCAGCCCTCTGCAATAAATTCTAAAATGAGAAGTCCGTTTGGCCATTATCGTTGGCCTAAATATTTCAAACCCTCATATTTTTTTCAGTAAGGTCTCCAATCCAAATTCTTTAAATAAGGAAATTGAAGGTGAAACGTTCTTAAAAAATTCAGGGCCTTTATTTTTATTCGAATGTGGTTGTTGAAAGATTTAGCTACCGTTGTTTTCCATAAAAAGGCAAGACCGCTCAGATTGATGGTCGGCCTGAAATATATGAAAGCGATGTGAAACAGTCCGGAAAAGAACAAATTTTGTATACGAAAAATAACGGGACGCTCATTTTTCTTTGAGACCGCTGGCACAATAGGCCACTTTCACATTTTTCAAAAACATATTTAATTTATTTGGTTACTCATTCTAATAACATCTGTAAAAAATGCTTATGTTTGAAAACAAAATTATTTAAGAATATAATTGCTGCAAAAACACGGGCTATGATTAATACACCAGAGTCCTAAAAATGCGGGGATCCTGAATTTCTCATTGGTAAATCTTTCCAAAACACGACCGCGAATTAATTCATTGTACTGCGAAGCAGAATCTTCAATTTTATCTCATATCCGATGTGAATCGATATTATCTATCAAGCTCATGTGGATTCGTCGTGTCGAAACTCGTAACATCTGTTGTGTTTGTACTCCATTGTCGGGGATGCGTTCAAATTACGTGGGGCTATGTTGTATCCTTATCTTTTATCAACAATTAGACAAAATATCTGTTAAACGTACTAAAAATAAAACTCTTTATTTCACAGCTCAGTGCCTAGAGCCCATTTGCGTCTTTAACTACGCCATACAAAAATAAAGAATAAAGGATATAATCGGTGAACTCTTATTACCTAGAACAATGGATTTAAATTATTGTTTTCATGCTGCCAAATCTTTTCTAAAATCTGTATATCTAAAAACCATAGGCAATAAGATTTTTTTTTACGAGCATTAAAACATCTTGCAAAAAGAATAAAACGAAATATACAATATCATAGTTTTAGCTTTATATTTATATTTAAATGCCATAGTATATTCGATTTGTAATAGTGAAAAACGTGGCATCCATGCATGTTACGCCTACGTACCTATTTGTTACATCATCACATAAAATGCCATAGTATAGGTACAAATGCGATAAAAAAAAAGTAGTACAAGAAAAATCTCCAAAATCTCCTGGTCTATTATACATTAATTTAATTCATAACCAAAAATTACATATTTTTGGCATTTTTCGACAAGTTTTTGACCTAGAAAGCTTCAGATGACATTATTTTCACATTTTTCCACCTGTTTTTAACCTAGAATAAGTCATTGCCTGTATGTTACACCGGGAGCTCATATTGGAGCTAATAATTTTTGTACTACTTTTTTTTTATCGCAACTGTACCTATTCGATTTGTAATGGTAGAAAACGTGGCATCCATGCATGATAACAGTCGGTTGAATATTTCACAGCAATAATTTGATGAAGCTTGATGCATAGTTCTGATTCTATCATTTTTTGACTGGAGATTTTCAGTGTTTGGTCGGTCGTGGTTTTGAAACATTTGCTCCGAATCGTTATCCAAATCTATGTCACCATTAGATCATATTCAAATTCAAACAAATTCGTCATCTTCCACGGTACTCTGCACTGACAAAATCATGCTGAAACAGCTGACACTTCCAAAATGTCACCAACAATACTTTACCTAAAAAAAAGTTATGATTGCGCTTGCCTCAAGCTGCTGCCGATATAACTGACAGCATACAGGAATAAACCTATTATCACATTTTAAATAAATTTTAGTGTTAGAAAAATAATCTCTCATGTACTAAAAGAACATGATGTTGACGAGAAAAGGAAGAGCAAACGAGGTTACTTACCTCATGCATTAACCCCTGTGGAAAGTAGAGCCAAAAGAATTTTACAAATTGTTTCGACAGATATTTGGGGTCCTATAAACGTTTGTCATAAAATACGAGAAAGAGTTTCACTTAAACACACTTAAGGCCGCGTTAATGGCCGCCATGTTTAAACTGTGATTGGTTGATTTTTCGAAACTTGTTTTAAGGTCTTTAAAAAAACGGCACATCAGAATTGGCTCAAATTTGGCATAAACATTATTTGATCGATTATCTACAATTCCTTATTTTGGTTTTTCGATATTCAGCGTTTTTTTTAATTCGAAAATCATGTTCGCAACCACCAAAACAATTAAATGTGTTGGTGGTTGCATATTTGCATATTTATCAAGCTTGGATCCGTGAAAAGCATATTTTATTGATAACCACGAAAAACTAAAAAAAGCTTATTGTAGAGATTGTAGATAATATACCTATATCAAATAATGCCAAAGGATTTTGGAAATTATTGCGGATTTTTTGAGATGACCTTAAAACGAATTGTGAAGGTGAAAACAGTTCAAGCAATTTCAAATAGATGGCGCCACGGCAAAAAAGCTACATTGGGAGCATCATAATTGTATATTTGTCTTTCTCTGTGACTAAGTGTTCCACCGACAAACAGATTTTGTTTTGGACAAATAATAAAATATTGAACACTATGTGTGAGTGACGCAGTCGTCATTTTCAAAAACTAAAGTTAAACATGGCGGCCATTAACGCGGCCTTAAGTATTTCTTTATAAACGCTGGTTTGCCATATCTACAAATCTATCAATTTTATTCACCTCCGTCTCACCGACTATTTGTACCAATTTTCGACGTCCACCTTAACAAATTCAGCTACTTCTTTTCTAGCCTCTTGGTTGCTTTTTGGATCACAAAGGCGATTGTTGGAGTCTTGAGTTTTGAGATTGGGTTGAGTCTTGAGTTTCTGAGTGCGTGCACTTGACTGACTGACTTTTCTGCTTGCTGGCGGCTGGCGGTTGCTTCTCTCTCTTTTGTTCGGTGGCCGTGTTCGGAGCGTGTTCCGTGGATACGGAGTGTGTTCCGTCAACACCCCCCGGCTTAGAAAGCTGAATTTGTTAAAAACGGACTCGCCATTTATTAAGAAAAAGAACAAGCAAATTCACAAAAAAAAAAACAATAAAAGAAACGTGAATGCTTCGTTGGTTGCAAAACATATTAGTTAAACACCTAACAGTACATATTACATAAATTCTTACTTGTAATATTCATGTAGTAACAGGAAAATAAATACATGAACAACTCTAGAGGGAAGTTCAGATTTTTTTTTTCTTTCTAGGTAACAACTTAAACTACAAAACAGGATAATACTTATAAAACAGAAGAGTACATATTGCGTAAATTCTTACGTGTGAAATTCATGTAAAAAAAAATGAACAGAAATACATTCTATATAGGCAATTCTAATAGTATAATAGACGAGTTCGAATATTACCTCGCGGATGAGATGTAGATGAGATGGATATTCAATCACGTGGGCGCAGATGTGCTCGATTTCCTCCGTTTTATTCGAACGCTTTTTTGAAGCTGATGTTTATTTTGGTCACATGTTTCGGTAATCCTAACCTATTTTTGTAAAAACATATTTAATTTGTATTTTATTTCATATCCATTGTCAATTTTTCATATTCATTTCCCTATTTCCCTTAATTATTTTGAGAATGGATTAAATTTATAACAGATAAAACGTGCTGTTTTGTTCGAACCTCTACCACTGGACTCACCTAACTTGACTGGGGCCCAATTCTTGAAAAATCTCGTATACGAAAATTGATATGATTTCGAACATTCCCTATTCAATTTGCGTTGCTGTCATTCGGATTCGAATTAACTTTCGTATGCGAGAATATTCAAGAATTGACCCTCTGGTCGCGGGAAGCGGCTGCGGGCGGGGAAATAATGTAAATTGTGAGAATGAAACGTCAAATATTTTCATCCGTCTGAATCGTCGGTCGAAAACGTCCGAGCAAATCGAGGAGCATCTAAACCCTCCCGGATGTCAAAAAAGAACGCACCTCTGAGTGCTCGAAAATAATAAACGAACGGGTTGGAGTTCCTCCGAGGCATCCGACGTATTATTCGAACTCGTCTATTGTTGTATTAGGAGTAGAAGCTTCACTTTTTTGTGCTGAAGCAGTAGGTTTGCGAGCCGAACGTAGTGAGGCTTGCAATACTGCTGAAGCACAAAAAAGTGCTTCTACTCCGTATGCAACACGCTATTTTTTCTCCAAACGAATGGGGTAAGCTCCGGGGTAACTGAATGGTTAAGCGGCAGTAAAAGTACGAGCGGCACTAAAAGTACTTTTGCTGCCGCTCCAGCGGCACTAAAAGTACTTCTACTGCCGCTGCGGTTGCCTAGCAGCATAGAAATTAAATTTCTACCACCTCGACAGGTATTAACCCGCTGAATTTGCCTACCAGCATAGAAATTAAATTTCTAACATCTTGACAGGTGCTGACAAAGTGACGTTTTTTTGACGTTTGGAGAAAAAAATAATTTAAGAAGATATTTATCTAACAAAATGGACAGAAATGTTCTGGGTAACAATCTAAACGTAAACCTAAACTAAAACCTATAGCTAAATACTTTTATAATGAAAAGTAAATAATCGCTCAAAATATAATAAAATATAGGGAAAAAAATCAACCTTTCTGTTTAGATTTATTTAGTTTTTTAGTCGTCTTGTTTGTCCTGTAGTCTTGATTCGAGAATTGTAGGTACTTCAACAATTATTACAGTCGTGAAAAGTACACGTTTTCGGTTTTACAGGTTTTCTTAGGCGTAAACCAATAGGGTTTTCCTGTATTGAGACAGGATGTGGTTCAAAGTTGGAACTTGGTTTATTAGTTTTGATGGGGGTGAATTTTAAGTTTTTTGGGGCGTTAGGTAGACCATCTTCATCTGAAGAATGATCAGTTCTTTGGAGAACAAAACTTCGAGCATCAGCTTCAGAAGGGTTTGGTGAATGACATTCAATGGAATGTATTGGTGAAGATCGTTCAAAGGAACTACGAAGTACTTCGGTAATTTGAGGGGTTTGTTTGGGTGTGATCTACTTGATCACCAGGACTACCTTCAGGGTTACTTTCTTCCTTAGATAAATCTTTATCTAGAACATCTGGATAATCAATGGAAGCATTATCCAACTCGGAAACATCAAATGTAGGGGGTCCGTTGCCCAGGGGAGCAGGTCTAAAACCATTGACGAGAATACTGACCAGCCTACTGCCTCTTAAACTTGTGTAAACAAGTGAACTGTCTTTTTTGACAACTTCGAAAGGAACTGACCAAACTGTGTCAAAGGGACCTCTGAGTTGGCTCATCTCTCGTACCATAACCCATAACCTTATCACGAAGGTTGAAAGTTACATTAGGGGATTTTGTCTTATCAGAATATTTAGCCTGATATCGGGTTTGATTGGCTTCGATTTGAAGAATACGTTCCTCAGGAGGTACTTGCTGTTGTTTCAAGCGATTGTTCCTATACATTGGGGTAAGCCACTCACCTGAGTCAGCTAATTCATAGCCTAAAAAAGCTCTAGCCGGAGTCATGTCCGTGGCCAAATTTTTTCTGGACCTTAAGGTTCTTAGGGCTTCGTCCAGATACAAGTCCCATTTTTTTCTCGGATTTTCCTACCAGTAAAGTTTGTAAAATCTTTTTCAATTCTTGGTTCCTACGCTCTATAGGATTACTTTGCTGGTGGTAGATAGGTGTGTAGAAACGTTTGATTTTATATTTTTCGCAAAATTGACGGAATGTTCTACTAATGAATTGGGGATCATTATCCGATATTATAGTTTTTGGACAACCAAACCTGGAAAAAACCGTATTTTTTAAAAAGCTAGTAACATTTTGTGATTCAACTTGTGAAAATGCTTCGGCCTCTATCCATTTAGTGGAAACATCCTCAACACAAAGGATGTATTTTTTTCTACAAGAACTTTCATTGTAAGGCCATAGGATATTAATGGAAAGGATTTTTTGGTGTATGTGCTTCTAAAGGAGCTTGTTTTTGGATTTGCCTCTTTTTTACTGACATGCATATACACATACTAGTATATTATGCAATGATCATGTAATGATAGCCATTAGTACACGAGCATGTTGTAGGATACGAAACGAGCCGCAGGCGAGTTTCGTATATAACATGCGAGTGTATTAATGGCCATTACATGAGAGTTCCATACACTATTTTTTCTACTGCCATTGATAAAACTTATGATATTTAGATATGTCAACTTTATGCGTAACTTTGAATAGAGATTTTATAATTGAGTAATGCGTCTATACAGTTGAAGGCTTAATTTTTTGTTGTAATTCTTCAAAATATACTATCAAAACATTTTCTGAGAAGGACAATGTGTTTTTGGAGTTTCTCCAATCCATAAATTGTCCATATATTTTTTCGAAAATTTTCTTGGACTTGTCCGGTAGGAAATTATTACCTGCATTTGTCGCCCTTTATGTAATTTCTGGAGGTGTTAGTGAAAATTCTTCGTTATCACTCAATAATTTCATGATAATGCCTCATCCCAAACTTTAGGTAACTTTTAAATACGAATTTGAAGTATTTTTTTTTTTATAAAATTATTGTTTTTCGCTAAATTACCATGGAAAAACTATAAACAGAGTGCTGTCAACATTCAAAAAAAAAACTAATTCAAAATTTCTTAACTGGTGGCGCCATCTATTGACAATGTATGATAATGAAAAAAGTAGAAATTCTTCCTTATGTCAGATCAAGTACTGTGAATATAGTTGCATTACCCAAATCTTTCAGGGTGTCTGGAATTTTGGGCAATACTGATGGTTCATCAACTATAATAAGATTTATTAGACAGTAATCTATACAAAATCTGGGTTTTTTGCCTTATTTATTGACAATTACGATAGGGGAACTGTATCTCGAGGAAAACGGTTCGATTACACCACCTGTTGGTACATGATTTCTTTAAGCTTTGGATTCATTGGGTAAGGTTTCTGAGATATAGTCTTATCGGGATTAGTTAGATTAATTAATAATGAAAGCATTCAAGGATAAATTAGGAGATATGTAGAACTCAAACCATTCTCTAGCTTCTCCCTTAAGCAAAGAAACCCCCACGCTGACTCTTTCAGAGCTATCCAGAATGTTTGAATCATTAAAATACCTTTCCAGTGTCCTAACAAATAGGGTCATCATAGCATAGTTGAAGCCATGAAAAAAGATAGTGGGCCTTTTATTAGGTTTTATATAGAAATCGCTCAAGTCTTCTAGGGTTTTGGTAAAAGCGTTGGTAACATCTACTTCCATGGAATTTGATACTGTTTCTAAATAAATTAGGATTAATATAAATGTTATTATTTGGGTTAATTAGTGGTGGATTTATCAATGGCTTTACTGATGATTGGTACTGGTACAAGTTATTGGTATTTAAGTCTGTCCTGTCATTAGCATTATTGTTACCAATAAATGGGTTCGATAAATTGAGAGATTCATGAGAACCAAGGTTGGTATTTTGTGGGTTAGTTTGCTGTTCCAAGCTTGGAGTGGAAAGAGAAATATCAAAAAGATGTGGATTTATAAATTCGTCCAAGTAAATTAGATGTGCATCCAAGCCCCCCATTGTTAGTTGGTTAATGTTTAAATACAGGTCAATTAAATATTTAGAAAAAAAAAAAAAACAATAAAGTCGTTCAATAAAATTCTCTATAAAATTTAATAAAATATTTAAGTAGGTTCCTAATAATACATATTTTTTTTCTGTTTTAATATAAATTAATATCTCTGTTTATGAAAATGTTTTGTTTATTATTTAAGTAATAATTAATAGTAAAGATTTTAGCTGAAAGCTCTAGGTAGCAAGTAGCAAGGCGACCTTGTTGAAATTTTGGCAAAAATAATAGTACCAATAAATGTACTGAATAGTACAAACAAACTATAGAGACGACATCACGCATAGTTGTCAATGTTCACAGGCACAATCAAATAATTGTACTAAAATTTGTACAATAGCACATCGGGTAACACCCAAGCAAATCGTTGGAACTTGTTGGATCGTGGTTGTTTGGAACGGAACAGTTTCATAGTTTCAATTTATCAAAGTATTTAACCAAAATTAGGGAAATCATAAAAACACTGCACTAGGACATTTGTGATTGTACTTATCTGATTTCTTCGGTTGTTGCTTCTGTTGATAGAATACTATTTCGATGGTTCTAGCCTCACGTCAAGGCGCCATGTTAACGAAAAAGTGGGACGCGCAGGTTATTGGGCCTTTTTCGCTTACTCTCAACGACGACAAATAATAAAATGCCAATAGATTTGTACCAATTTTCGACGTCCACTTTACAAATTCAGCTACTTCATCGCAAAGGCGATTGTTGGAGTCTTGAGTTTTGAGGTTGGGTTGAGTCTTGAGTTTCTGAGTGCGTGCCCTTAACTGACTGACTTTTCTGCAGCGGCTGGCGGTTGCATATTCGTTCTTGCTTTACCTACCGAATATGATAAGACCAAAACTTGAAGAAAACATAAAAAAATTATTCTTAAAGAACGTATTAGGAAATTCAGCATAAGCCACTTGATGTCTCAAACAATTATTGCTTAGAATGAAGAAAAAGTTAAGGAAGATTGGAGGATCAAAAATGTTGGCCCTGGGCGGGATTCAAACCCGCGTCTTCAGCATTGCCGGTGCTAAGCTCTAACCAACTAAGTCACCATGACCCTACAGATCTTTTTGATTTTTGGTGTTGCTAGAGACGCAGGTTCGAATCCCGCCCAGGGTCAAAACTTTTAATCCTCCAATCTTCCTTAACTTACTGTTCATTCAATTTCCACGCTTTCCAGTTGTTGTAACCGACAAATACTTCATTTTCTTTCAATTATTGCTTTATGCAAAACTAATCAATTTGAAAGAATAATAATATCGGTTTCGCTCAATTCTTTCAACAAAATCGAAATAGAATATTATGCATCCTCGCGTTAAATTCAATTTCATCCTTTTTCCGAAATCACTTTTTAAAAAGCACGAGAAACCAATCAATGGCTTCGCTTGGTATAAGAATTATAAATCCTCTGGATTTTAATACATTTACTTCATTAAAATTAGATTTGACCCGACTTGCAAGAAAATAGAAAAATGTACCAAGAAAATATAAGAAAAAATTAAAAATTTCTGTGAGGAGATGCAGTTAACTGTTTCGTAGATGATTAGAATAACGTTTTTTTTTTTTTTATGGTAACGTTAATTTTTGAAAAAAATTGGAGATTATGTGACCTACAAAATAGAATAAAGGATTTCGATACTTTATTAATATTTAGTTCGAGTATCATAATAATATTTTATTTGTTCAAATATTCCTTTATAAAATTCATATATCATTTCCAGCAAAATTAAACGTAAATACCGTTGCTCGAAAGTGATTTTTATATTTTAAAAGCTACATCATGAAACAGGGCGGATTTAATAATAAATTTTGTACTAATGGATTTTTTTTTATAAAATATAAATTGTGCTTTCATTTAGAAAAAATAAATAAATATAGATAAACAAAATAACGATATGAAATAATAAATTTATTCACATCCAAAAAGTCGGCACTTATTCAGTTTTTATACGAAAACTTTGCCGACACCGAATTTTATACGAAAGTTATTTTGATCTATTTTTAAGTTCTGAAAGCTGAATCTAAAAGCGCCCTGAGCTAAGGCGAACTTATAAAATGGATTTCGAAGTTAAGGTCTCCATTTTTGTACTCTGCTTTCGAAGAAAACTTTAAAATAAGCAACTGCAAATACTTACATTATAATGACTTTGAGGAAGACGACAAAATACTTAAAAATGAAAACATTTTTTTCCCCTGGTTTCGATATAATTTTTTATAATTTGAAAATTTCGTGTTCGAATAAAGAAATTGTTTTGGTACCCACTTATTTAACTCAAAGTCGTGAAAATGATCCAAACGAAGCCAATAAACCAGGTTATAAAGAGGATTTCCGCCACTCGTTTGGTTGGGCCCTTTCTGCAGAGGCCGAGAAAACAAAAGCAATCAAATTAAAGAAAAACCAAAACACGACTAGGGAAAATTCTCAAAGCGTAAATAGCGCGATTTTGCGGTTGATTTGTTGGCCCGTTAGGCTTTTCTGCTAAAGCCTCGATCCTCTTTTGCACGCCGTTATCAACCAATTCGTCTTTTTGGTTATCGGTCCAAAGATCGCGACAAAATGGGCCTCTTGCGTTCGAACCGAACAAATAAACAAAAGATACATGAGAAAACTTTAAATTAGGGCTACGTTCTATTGATTGTAGTTTTTTCTTACTTATTATCCCGAAATTTCTAAGCATTGTTAATGCAGATTGGATAGTTATTAGCAGTAGGTGTAGGTATTGAGTTTTTTTTTTAATGTAAAATTCTTCCTTTACGTATAGGTTAGGTATTGAGTACTCAATTTGCAATTTTTTTTTTCAGAACATTGAGTAGTTTACGTGATTAGATCTTGAAATGGGGTTTTGGATATGTTATTTTTTCTCTCTTTCTCGAATAACATTGACTTGACGTGAATAAATGTGACAGAACACATTCCAAATGCTACAGTGAAATTTATAACAAGTGACGTCACGCACTCCCTTACATTGAAATTTAAATAATGCATTTTGATAATTTTTAGAATTTTTTGATAACACTGAACAAAATAAAGACTGCTAAAAATGGATGTAGATTAATATCACGAAATGGAAGGAAAAAACTCTCAAACACCGGATTCTGTTGCTCAGTTGTGGCAGGATGCTCATTTGGTAGTAGGTTTTCCTCATTGACTATGATTTCCAGTTTTTCGAAAACGACTGTTTTCTAGTATTTTCCCCAGTTTTGATAGGAAGCTAGTTTTGTGGAACTGTTAGCTTGTGGGAATAGCATTATGATACCGGTTGTCCATAGTAGATATAGGAAAATATGAATTTAGGAGACAACCATTGAAGATTTTGGTTTGTGTCATCATTGTATCGTAAGATGGAATTACATCAATGTATTAGAGAGTGTTGAAATTCTGGTTTCCCGTCTGTCCTTTTCTTTCTTTTTGAAAGGACGAAATTCCGCGTGTGGCTAAATTCAGCTGGTGTTGGCACCGTAGTGAAATGGTAGAAAAAGCAGTGTTGTTAAATTAAACATGGTTTGACAAGCTGTGGTTTGGCATTGGCATTAGTGAATTTCAATCACCGCATCCGTGGTGGTGGACCATTTTGCATTACGCGGATTGTGATGTCGGATAGTAGTCTAGCACACTATTAACTTGATCTTTGTGCTGAACGGTCGGTACCGCCAATTGTGAAATTCATTCTGGCATTTTAGTGCCTTATCTCTGGAATTTGGAGGATATATTTTCCTTTTGGATATAATAGTGGCTGTAGTTATCGTAGTGCTGTGTGCATTTTTTTTTTAGTAGGATTTTTTATTGGTGCTGACCGTGGACTGCTTTGGAACCCAACAAGTGTAAGTTTCTTCAATCATCCTATTCAATTTCCATAAACGTAGCCTTATGTTGCTTGAGTTTACCTGTCTGACATCTCCTGTATCAATCTGTAGAACTGATGGATATCCGTTTTATAGATTTTCCTGGATTTTGTCTTCCTCGACTTAAGTTGTCCACTGTAGCCTTGTCATTGCAGAAAACCACACAGAGTCGCCAGCGCTCTTAAGTTCGTAACAGATCTAAAGTACGACAACTGAATGAACCTGTGTGGAAGGAATGCTGGCAAAACCCTCCTGATTGGCGCGAGATTAAATATACATATACGCGGGTCGTCGCGTCAGGGTAACCGCAATTTTCGCAATGCACCACGTCGGGGACCCGTCGGGTCGTATACTATAGGTTTTCGTCTTCCCCTCTGCTACTTCATACGTTACCAAGGTTCACTCAGTTGTCGCACTTTATTACATAAGGCAATTATTTATTATATACACTATTACGCCGCTCAGGAATCTATTACGTTTTTTCTGCATGCCCAACTAATTAAAAACTTCTCACAATTCGATTCGAATCAACCAGAGAACCGAAAATTTCAACCCCCTGTACCGGTTACGCTACAGGAACTGACTTTGCTCCTTGCAGCTTGTTTGTTCTGCGAAAAAGTGTACTTTTCCGCACGCATTTCAGGTCATGAAAGTACCACTTTTCCGCACTAGTGCGGAAAAGTAGAATATTTAAAATGTTTAGGTATACAGGTACTTACAGGTATACTACAGGTACAGGTACGGAAAAGTGAAAAATTATCTTAAATTGGTAAATATATAGGAACCAATATTAACTTCCATCTCGTAGACAAAATAGTGTTCCTAACTCGTGCGGAAAGTCTTTTTTTCTACGAGCGTGCGGGAAATCCGCAGAATTTGCTGTGCGGGAACACTTTTTTCCCGCACCAGTGCGGGAAATAATCATTGTGACATGGAATTGTTTGTATTGTTGGTATACCTATACCTTTACCTTTGATACCTTTACCTTTTTTTTTATAAATACCTTTCAATACATTTTTACTTCTACCTCTGCACAATCGCATTTTATTTAAATTAAACTTCTCCTAACATCAGCTTTAGTATGCTCGTAGAAAAAATATAGTTCCTAACTCTTGCG